GTAATCATGTGAATACTGCAACCGAGAAGAGAAAATGCAGCAGTCAGATCGGGATTCGAACCCATTACCTCGAAACTTTAAACAGAATCTCTAACCCATTGAGCTACTTAGTGGTGGGCAAATGACCCAGTCAAGTTCCGCTACATTCCACCCTCCTTAAACGACGCTTCAATTCTAATGACACACAATAGTGTATACAATTATACCACCTTCCGTACGTATATTTGTTTGGCACCAACAGTGACAGGATATAAAAATACAACAGCCAGACCAGGATTCCAACTTGGACTTGTTAAAAAAAACGAAAGTGAAAGTTAAAGCAGCATCGGTTGTCTGCAACAAAAACATAACTGTTTATTTGTAAGGTATCCCTGGTATGGTGTAGATGCCATCCCCTTCATAACATTTTTTTTTGTTCTCGCTTTTAGTAACCTAAAATTATAGTTTTCGGCCATTTTTGTCGTTTGAATGTCCTGCCCAGTCAACAGCACCGCTAAGATCCTCAAAGTTGTAAAGATTGGCTCAAGACCAAAAGTATCAGGAGTGGCCGGAGTTACCCCAGAGCCGAACTTGCCCCGGTTTCCCCGAAGTTGTCCTAGCCCCATATTGAACCCTGCCGCAATGGATCTGCCCTCGTTCGTTGTTTTCAAAGCATCTCAGAAATACTTGCAAATCAACTATGGTCGAAATTAAATCACTCATATAGATATCATCTGCATAGGGATATATACAAAAACAATGATCGATGTGCCGTCCATATTGGGATATTTTGTACTTTTGTCTGGGTTTTTTTCCTCCGACTTTATTTTCTTAGTTGTTGCAATGATGCAAATTCTAAACAAACAAATTTTATAGATTTGGGTTGTATCTGTTATTACTCCATTCAAATTTGCAATGACATTATCTTTTTTGTTGAAATATTATGATTTGTAAATCATTCTGTTAAAAAGTAATCATGACGTAACATGCTGGGCAGTCGTAACAATTGTAAGAAAACAGCCAGCAGAGGATTACAAGACCCATAAGACTGGGCAACAAAACTAATGACTTAAGACTAATTTAAGATCATGTATGATGGACATCTCAGAATTTTAATCGATCTAGCAACACTTTGTAATAGCAATGTCAAAAACATTTAAATTCATCTGTTGGATTACCTCAAGAAAACAGAAGGTTTCAAATCAGTGGCTGTATGGAGTCAAAACATTTATTTGTTTTCTTCAGATGGTACTGTCCAGTACTGGTATGAGTATAAGAACGAAAATAAAGAAGTTGATTTACACATGTTTTAGACTAGTGTTTGTCAATACATCATTCAAAAGAATCAAAAGTCTTACTTCAGAACTGATGCCTAAATTAAAACAGTGATATATTGTATGTAAATATACAATTAGGATAATGATTACATTACGCAGTACATATTGAAGAGATTCTGCCTTCTCTCCTGTTTCAAAAGACAAAGAGCATTCAAAGACATAAAATTAAAGGGGAATTGTTATAAGTCTTGAAGAACAGTTGAATATTCAATAATGAATACATATATCAAGAAGTTTAACCTTGGTCTTAATTTGGTGTTCGTCTTGAAACTACATGTATTTATACTTGCACAATTGTCTGTTATAAGCCGAGATATCTTCCTATCCATAATTATACTTTACTGTTTATTGAGTGTCGCATTTCCACTATTTTTCATTCAATTATTCTGATGCCAATAGTGATCATATTACAAAAACATACATCCACAATATTACTATAAGATAATTTACTGCATATTTTTTCTCTAAAATAATTTGGTAAGGTGAAGAAGCAGATTACACAGCAAAATGCGCCTTTAAAAAATAAATAATTTTCTCAAAAATCAGGTAACGGAAAACTATGACAATATTCTGAGATGACAATTCAGACGAATACAAATCTCTCTGTGTTTGTTGAAAAATTCAGGAAGATAATTTCTTTGTATTTGTAGGTGTAGTTGTGTTAAAATGACTTCAGAAGAACTTTTTTAAGTAGCATAAATGCATGAAATACGTCTATTAGACATAAACAATCTCCATCATGTGTCCCTGCCTTCAATGTAGTAACAAATAAAAGATGTGCACTGAACTGTAGGAATAAGAATACACTAGATCAAAATATTCTAAATAATGTGGTATAGATTCCAGCTGCGGAAAATTCAAGTTGGCTTCAGTGAATGTATTGTCAACACCACGATGACGCGTGTTAACAGTGACGTCACAGTCGCGTCACAGCCGTTTTATGTATACTGTGAGGTCACTCTCCTGCCTATACTTATTTTGTTTAGAGAGTGTTATATGTGTATGTATGAACATATAAGCCTAAGGGCTTTTGGTCAAAACATCGTCTGGAAAAATGAATATGAACACGAAATGATAATGCAGCTACAGCAGGGTAACGGTACAGGTATAAACTATACTGTTGTTAAATTTTTAATAAGTTGACGTCAGGCCAAGGGATCGCAGTCTGTGCCTCGAGGCATATATCGATCGCACACGGCTATACACACGGATTTGTCTACCTATTCGACGAATGAATGACGATGATCGGGGACAAATCAGAGTTCGAGGAATATAGAGTATTTGAGCAATGGCAGATCGAGTAATCAGAGGTTGATATACAAAGAATATATAAGAACACGGCCCTAATGTAAGAAGACATCGGAGTAACCGGAGAAAGCCCAAGTGGCCGTGCAGGTAACCCCATATCTGTTCACGTCCGATCGGGGAAAATAACCCCAACTGCCTTAATTGGTTAGAGACGAGCACGTTATCCACTGTTCAGAGTAGTAACTCGTTTGTTATGATTGCGTACATGATCATTTATGATATCTCCACGTTAAAAGTCTAAATGACCCAAATTAGAAAATATTCTACAGGGGAGTAACAGGGTCCCTTAAACGGACACCTCTGGTTATTCACAATTCACACGGTAAGATGAAATATAAGATAAATAATAGTGTAAGTAAGTGCCACGCATTGACCGAAAGCAAGATACAAATCAAATCATAACATATACAGGGTGTAAGCGATCAATACCAAGCTCTATTAAGTTCACTTAATAGACACTAAACTCGTAATTAAAATAATCATAATCGATCCATTTTACAATAAATCGATTCATATACAGAAGTTAAAACATCCTATTGGTACACACAGATTGCTATACAGAACCCCGCACCGGTGTCAGTGAAATGAAGAGTCCGCCTAGCGTGCCCTTTAGATAAAATGCGTTGCTTAATGAGCCCGCTTTCATCCACAGTACCCCGCTCGACAGACCTCATCCCAAACTATATTTATCACATAGCTTAAATGTATTACACCGTTGTAAAATCAGAGGGAAAACACAATACCTCAGATCAGAGTTAGATATGCACGATTTGACTAGTGATCGGGAAGTGGGATTGACATTACAAAGAGCCGGTCGAATGGGGGGATCCCTATCATTGTAGCGCTTACTTCAGACCCCGATAATGAATATTAAAATATTTTGGAGCAGGCGGAGTGATCCGTAATAAAAAGAAACACGAGTGTTGTCCATTGATCCTTGGGCTCAGTTGGGCCAGAAAATTAGCAAGTGGATGATATAAACATAAAATGTTATATAATTCAGTAAGCGTCAGTTTTACTTATATGAAAATCAAAGATAGAAATGACCCTTGTCGTACCATTGACTTAGATAGCAATCTAATTCCGTAGTACCGGACATGTGTAAACAAAAAGTACGAGTGAATCAATAATTTCCTTTGAAAACTTTTCTTAAATTAAAGAAAGTAGTAATATAGCTCGCTATTGTTGCCTGCAGATCACCATGTTTCTTTATATTTATTAATTTAGTATAAGTGTCCATATTAGAGAAACCGTCATGCATCACATCATCTAATATTTGCCGAATGTGCATCATATTGAACCTTCCTATTTTTAATGTTATATTATTTTAGAAGTGATATACACTTGATATAGTTTGATATAGTTCAGGAAGGACATACATGACGAACGTATTGAAACCGATACGTTCATTACGTTCATGATACAGTCATTATAATTATACGGTACGAACATATACATATTGGTACATGTTCGTACGTCATTGACATTTTCGCTCCGAGTGAAATACAGCGGAAGTAAAACTGTGATATCGTACCGGATAGAACATCGTATACCAAATTGTATAGATCAATAGTACGCAACTGGAATCACCAGTCAAGAAATAATATTTTTTTGTAATCGGTCCTTTAATCAAATTATGCTCTATGATATACAAAACGGCAACTGTCATCCGGTAAAGTTTTAAATAACGTTTCGAATTAACATTCAGTGTTCAGGATATCAATACTTTGGTATCCTTTATCAGTGAAGAACCATTTGATTGTATGCCATAGAGAACAGCTGTCACTTCGTGTACTATTCTGTACCGTTGTTAAATAACAAATGTAAAACTGAATATTTGTTTACGCTTAATGCGATTTGATAATATTATAGACAAAAATTTGTGCTGTAGGATGCAAGATAGTCCGTTTCACTACCCAGTGTACTTACAAGTGTAGAGGAAATATATACATATCAAAAGGGAGTCAAAGAGATCTAACTTTGGGGGTTTCTTACAGTAAGATTGTTTTCTAGAGAACAAAAACATACATCAGAACAAGAGGGAATTTTCACTATGAATAGGTGACTTCAAATAGAAGTATGCAATTTTCTTGTACAAGCAAACAATATACAGTCGTTCAATTTTACTCTTTTTTTCTGCTACAATACCGTAACCGTTCTATTAATATTTGTTCCTTGTGACTGTATATACAATTTATATATGCTAAAGTGTGTGTAGCATTTCCCCAGTAACCGTATATGTGATCCATGCTATAGAACACTTAATCATTGTAGAAATAAGACAAACAAGGGAAGGCATACTCCGAGCTTGATTATAATTTGATTTCAGGAGAAAATTAAATGATTAATGCAAATATGTAACAGCTGCAAACCTACCTCCTCAAATGGTGGCGAGCCTCCCGTCGCCATTGCCAAACCTAGGACTGCTGCGGCTACCTATCCTGTAAAATAAAGATAAAACCTCTTTGAGTATAACATCTTGCTAACTACTAGGGAACAAACATTTACTATGCCGTGATCATTAAAGAACATTTCAGTAGAACATTACACAGATGCAGTTAGAGTTTATATCGAGAGTATTTTTTCTCAAAAACCTCAAACACCACGGAGGATATGAAAATTACGTTATTAAAACCTAATTTAGGAATGTTAGTATAGCATCTGTTTAATTTACTTGGTTTCTTAAAATAACATGGGGGTAATGACATATAACAGTAACGAATTAAGGATTACATTAAGAAAAACGGTATACTGCATGTTGTGACTGTATGAGAACAGGCAAAACAAAAATCAAAAGCCCAATAATGAACACTATACTGGTTGTAAAAGCGAAGCGGAAAACTTAGATGCGGAATCTATGCATATCTGAAACTATTAAAAAAAATGTTGACAACANATTTGTTTACGCTTAATGCGATTTGATAATATTATAGACAAAAATATGTGCTGTAGGATGAAAAATAGTCCGTTTCACGACCCAGTGTACGTACAGTACGGCCTATAGATATTCCAAGTGAAACGCTAATCATCACGATTTAGTGTGACGCGTGCCCCTCATGCTCGTATCACCGTGGTTCATGATGATAGATCAATTATGCTAATCGGTCATCAGGACTCAATCACGATGGTTTGCGATGACAAGTCGAATCGCGATGAACCCCCGCGATCGGGACGTGGAGAATCACGAGATGTCAGCAGGCCTCATCGGCGCTTACTCATGCGATAAGAGCCGGGTATTAGGGATGTCCATATTTACATGTAAAATTGTCGATAAATTCAGCCGCCAACACTCAGCCATACCTACCGACGTTAAACTATGTAAATCAAGCATACTCGAAACGCCATCACGCGCACTTGTACGGAACATATTAAAATTTGGCGAAACCGAATCGAGACCCAGAGCTAGCCCTGAAAATGCTTCAGGTTTTGGTTTTGTAGTGGATTTTTTTTACTACTGTTGTCGCAGTCTACGGACCATCTGATAATGCCTAAAATTTTAAGAAATATAAGAGTTAACGAGGTTCAAACTGTTTGTCACTGACAAGTAAAAGAAGGCAGACTCTTTGAATAATTTACGCGAGCAATCTGTTACTGTTTGTCTTTAAATTCAACAGGGAGTAAGGTGGACTCAGTATTTAAAATTGTGATAAAAAGAAAGGAGAATTTGACACATAAATACTGTTTAAAATGGGAAAATACAAGTACCATAGTACTGTTGATCTAGCAAGGTAAGCTAAACATAACATATAACGTAACGATCTATGAAACCATTAAAATGTCTTGATATCAATCATGTCCTTCAGTATTATATTTCAAGTGTGTTATAATGTTTCGTTTTTATCATTGATGTAGTTTATTTGAATCCTAATTCCTTTAAACATAATATTACGTAGTGGGTCATTGAATGAAAAACTTGTTCACACAGAGTTCAATTGCATCAACATCACTGCTCGTCACACTCTAGTGATCCTACCTTGTCTGTCTGTCAATCAAACGATGTTGAAGGGCGTGCCTGACGACATTCGCCAATCAGGATTCATTCAGCCAACATGTTGTTTTTGTTTCGATACCTGAGTTTACATGGACAAAATTTAAGTATAATCTGTTTCCATATTTCCATAGAATAGATCAACCTAATTAAAATCTATTCTCTCATTACACTGCTTACTGTGATGATGTGAGATCGGATTTTAATTAGATTGATAAAGGCTTTGGTTCAGCTTAAAGTTTCTGTGACCTCGAAATGAACCTTAACTAAAATAAATATCGTAGAAAATAAATGATAAGATTGGTCAGTTATAATGGTATATTCGATGCAGCGCCACCTTGAGCAGGAACGACAATCCGTTCTTGCGGTTAGAAACCGGTGGAGTCTTTTTTAACTTTTTTTTAAATTACACCAGGTCAATTTCGACAAAGGTCAGAGTTTTTTTAAACTTTTTTTTTAACTTTTTTTAAAATTTCACCAGGTCAATTTCAACAAAGTTCAGAGTCAAGATATCCAGGATCGGGTCAATGTTAAGTTAATAAGCGACAGTTATGAATTTGAATTTGTTTCTAATATGAAATAACAAGCACATGTATAAGGGACTGCTCTATGATTATCATCTTTACGTTTTTAATATAAATGATTTAAAAAATATACTGTATGATATAGAACTACTTGTTTACTTGCACTCCTTGTCAAACCATAATTTAATTCACATACTACTTGGAGGTATCCTCCATAATAGGCTGTGTAAATTAGATTATGAAAACTTTGTTTTGATTCGTGCTATTTCTGTTGACGAAATGATGAAATTGTAATGAAATGCTTGTTATCTGAAAACGAATGTGATAACAGACGAAAAATGTCTTAATAATTTATGTTTAATATTATGTTTTTGTACATGTTTATATTTTATTATGAATTGACCTTTAATTAACTTGTATATATGTCCTTGTTACACTTCAAATAGGAGGAAATAAAGAATTAATAATGTTAAAAAAATAATGTGATTAACAGAAAGATGTCGATTCCTAATACGGAATATAAAAAAAACAGCAAGAACAAAAAGACTGTCAAATATACAATGGTATTATAATATTATACATTGATGATGAAATGTGGTGTGCCTATTATAAGATTTGTTTGGTTCTGTGTAAATTTCAGATATTGTGGTTTTTTGAAGACCGCTGAGTTTTATATTTCCGTCTTATTTTATTTTATTTATATTTTTATTAAGTTTTCACTTGCAACATTTGACATTTGACTTTCTATCCCTCTTTCTTGTGGGCCGCAATGCTCAATCGGTAATGCGTTAACGTACGTAACCTCAGATGAAGATCTGAAATGCGTGGTTCGACGCAGTTTTAAAAGTAGTTTTATATAATATTCAAATGTGATATCACTTACTGAGCGAGGAGAAATTTTCTTTTAGCAGTAGCGAGCAACACATATCTACCCAGTCTAAACAAAGATTTAACACTTTTCGAGGTAAATGATTTTATTAGATGTCGATAATAATTCTGTTCAAAGTATGTTTTTCTCAGAAATTGCAGGACAACGTATGGTAAAATGACATCATTGTTATCACAGACTACATATTCTCTGACTTCTTGGAATGTTATTATAGTGCCCAGATTGTTATACTGTCTGTGCATGCGAAATTTACCAAATAGCTTTTTTCCCCTAAAATTACCATTAGGTCAAATATAACTATATGCAAAAGGTATTTGCATCGTAAGCACTGCGTAATTCTTGAATATTGACCATACATTTGCATATTTTGTATATATTTGCAAATCCAAATATAATTAAAACCCAAATACATAGTTCATACTTAATTTGATAAACCCAATTAATTTTACAATAATTTTTCTGATATTCAATTCGACTAATGCGTCGTAACATGATTTTAAGAAAAGTAACTAGTATGTATTTGAATTTTTAACCAATATCTCATTATGGCTATTTCACGTTGCACATATAAGGAATATCTCCAAGTTTCCAAGTAAAGCCTAGACATGCAAATGTATCTTGTGCTACAGTGAATCTTCCATTATAGTTATGGCTATTATATATGTACTTCTCGCAATTATTTTCATAAAGGATACGTACAAGATGTACTAGCTGCTGGGAAACGTACACGTGCTAGAGTATAACCTCACCGGAGTTCGAACGGGACTACTTTAATCTTTTCATTTTCGATTCTCATTCCGCATGAATATTGACACTTTACTATCTCCAATAACAGCTCTCCAACAGGCACGGTAATCCAGATCTGAACTGATTCCTCGGAAGAGCATATCACGATACATACAATCGTAAAATTATACATCGTTTGTTTCATTTTTTAAAATTCTATAACAAAACATCTAATCTGGAAAGAAAATAATATTTCAGGTATGTATCTTGCATGGTTTTTCATTAACAAAAAAAAATCAAATTGTACCCCATAAACATGCATGCTTACAATGGATGGGCGTGGTCACTACCGATAAAAAATAAGTCCAGTCTATACCTGTAGAAGTCTTATCTACCTGTACACACTGTATACAGACCCCTTGGTGTGGTAATGACCAAGTCTACTAATTATAATAGAAGTTAATAAACGTTACACAATGATTTCTACACACAAGACTGTTATCAGCTTTGAAGTTACTGTCATAAAAACGTGCTCACCTGTTGTAACACATGTCATTGAAAAACAGTAGGGAGTACCAGTCTTGAGTCGAACCCCTTCGGGCTGTACTTCATGGGGCGCAAAATGAGGTTAAAAGGACTATAGTCTATTTTAGTGAAGTTAACCTGTACTTACCTGTAGTTTGTTTTCACCTGTGGAAGCATGTGCCATTTTAGGGATTTAGTTATTTGGTGTAATAAATTATTTCATAGTGGATATTAGGAATTTTTCAATATAAATATTTAATATTTTCTTGAATAATTAAACAGGTCAACAGCTAAAATTAAAGAATATACATGTATAATATTCAAAAATACATTTGTTCCTGTAGCGGCGTCGTAATAAAAGCTCTACAGAATTTATGTTGAATATTAACCTTGTAAACGACGCTAAATATAGATATTTTCATTTTAATTTACACAGTATATTTCTAAACTTTGAAGAAGTTGGTTCTGTGTAGGGACGTACATATCATACACGTCTCTGGTTATGTGGTAATTACTTGCTACGTTCTATGAGAACACATTAGGTTAATTTAATTACAAGAACTACCCGTATATGAACAAGATTGTTGAAAAAAAATCACGGTCATAACCTCAGTCTCTGTAAATGTCCAGTATAACGGTGTTCGTTGTGTATTAATCCATCTAAAATAACCTGTTCATTCCGGTAGATTTTTTTTATCGTCAAACACCTAAATTGCGTAGACATCCAGAACGTTTATTTGCTTTGTTTTTATCATAACCAATTAAGCTGATAAATTGAAGGAAATACCAAACACAAGATTGAA